GTTTTTAATTAAGTGATATTTCATTCTCTCATTGAGCCTGCAAAGAAGCTTCATGGCAAAGGTAGATAATATGTTTTAGAGCTGGGTTTTAGGGTCAGACTCCCTGGGTTCTAATTCTCTCTCTGACACACAAGTTTTAAGATTTCTGATTCCCTGTGCTTCAGTTTCCTTGTTAGTAAAATGGAGAAAGAAATAATAGCATGCGCCTTACAAGGTTCTTGTGAGGATCCAATAAGTTAATATATAAAATTTGGTGCTTGATCACTATTAAGTGCTGGATAAATCTAAGCTAAGATCCGTGACAGTACCCCAAGTTGACAACTAGAGAACAGAGAAGTAACATGTTCAAGGTCACACAGCTAGGGAGTGGCAAACTCAGGCTTTGTTTAGTGTCCCTGGACATCCAGGTGACCCTGTCCCACACACCCTCCTATGGGCCAGCCATCCACAGCCTAGCTCACCTGGCTGGTATGATCTGCACCCATGTGTAGCAACATCTGGACACAATTCAGCCTGTCTCTGGCTTGGGTACTCAGTGTCCGAGGACAGAGGCTGGGTGGGCGCATAGCAACATTGAGGGCCAGGATGGCTGTGTGGAGGGGTGTGAGTCCTGTAGAATGGAGAGAGTAAGAGACCTACAGCTGGGGCACCCACCTCGCCCAGCCTCGCCGCCATGCCAGCCCTGCCCACACACCGCTTACCTTCGAAGTCTCTGGCTTCCAGATCCACCTGAACACCAGATTTAAACACAGCCTAGGAGGAGGAAAAAGATGTTGTGAAAGGGTCTCCCCAGGCCTCCTAGCCCTGGATCAGGATCTGGGCAACCAATCCACCCCAGACACCTGCCTGCCAGCTAACCATACCGAAAGGACTCCTGGGAGCCCGTAGGTAGCAGCCACGTGCAAGACAGAACGTCCCTGATGATCCGTGGCGTTAGGCTCCGCTCCCAGGTTCAACAGATCCTCCACAATCAGCGGCTGGTTGGCGGCAGCAGCCACCAAAAGAGGGGTCTGCAGGTCATGGAAAAAATCAGTCTGGGCCCCGAGCAATCTCCCCTCTGAGACTCAGGAATCCAGGTTCCCAGCCCTCTCCACCCTCAGACCCAGAAGTCAGGGCCCATACTGCTCCCTTCTCCAGGATCCAGGAATTCCAACCCCCAGCTCTTTCCTCCCCTGTACCCAGAAATCCAGGCCTCTGTTCCCTCACCTTGCCCTTATGTTCACGGATGTCCAGATGTCCGTACATCTGGAGCACCTCTGCTGCAGCATATGCTGCCCAGCGTAGTCCCCAAGCCGCAAACAGGTGCAGGAGCCTGCAGACAGGTAGAGGGATGCAATGAGAACAGTCCCTCTGCTGACTCAGGAGTGTGCAGATGACCCCCGTTTCCCCTATACTCACGTGTCTCCCTCCTCATCCTGGGCCAGCAGCTGTTGTGGCCCCAAAGCCAGCATATGAGCTCGGGCTGTCTCCAAGGATGGTCCAGTGGATGGGAGCAATGGTGGGGGTACTGAGGGGGGCCCAGAAACTCTCCAGGATTCTGCCTGTGACAGGGAAGGTTCTGCATAGAGCCGAGTGTTCAGGGGGTCCTGAAGGGGTAGGGACAGTCAGTCAGTTAAGAATTCCCCCTTCCCAGCCCACCACACATACATATACACAGCCTCTGGTCAAGTGGCTAGGGCTGGGAACCCCGTCTATGCCAAGTGACCTTGAACCTTTGGGCCTGTTTTGCCCGTGTGGGGAATGGGATTTTAATCCCATTCCATAGTTCAGAATACTGCACAAGGGCAGCTGGGAAGTTTTAGAAGCCCTTCAGCATCCTTTCTCATTCTGTATCTCACCTCCATTCCTAGGGAAAATGCACACGATCGCCCTGAGTCGGAGGGCTGGTAGAACTCAGGATTCAGGAACCCTTCAGCAGCAGAAGCAGGGTAAGAGCAGGGGCTGTCTGTATAGGCAGCATGTGTGTTGGGGTCCCAGTCTGGAAAGCTTGTCAGGGGTGCCAGGGTGCCAATTCCAGAACCCACAGTCTCCTGGATTGTTGGGAAGTGAGTATGGCCTGTGTGTGAGAGGAGGGCAGGTGGGGGCCTGGTTACCAGAGCTTGGGGGAGTCACAGTCAGGGAAGGAGGAGCCTGAGTCGCAAGGTGCTCAGACAAGGATTTCTGGGACACTAAGGGGCTGGGGCCTAGGATCCTGGAATTCTCAGGGGCAAACTGGAACCTGGATTTGTGGGGTCCTCACAAGGTGGAAGCCTGGGGCCCACGTGCATAGATGATTGGGATCCAAAGAAACTAGATCAAATTTCTAGTAAGTCCCAGAAAAAATGTGAACCTGAACCCTCTGTTCCCTAAAATTCTAAGAGTTGGGGTGTCTGAGGGCCTGAGGGAGGCTGGGGCTGGGAGCTCAGGGAACCAGATGAGTTTCCAGACTTACCAGCTTCGGCCTCATTCACAGATGGGGTCAGGGACTGGGTCAGGGGAGGGGAGAACTGAATCTGTAGAGACATAAGCAAAAAGGAACAAGGGAGAATTAATTTGCCAGATTTCTCGGCATTTGTTTCCAACCTCCAGGGCATCAGAGTCAGAACTATAACTCTTATCAGTTCTGAGGGCCCAACAAGCACATGGCCTCTTGAGATTTGCTTCCCTCCTTTTTTTCTTTCATTGTACTAGGAATTTAACCCAGGGCGCTTTATCACTGAGCTACAGTCCCAACCCTTTTTTATTTTTTATTTTTATTTTTTGAGACAGGGTTGCGCTAATTTGCTGAGGCTAGCCTCCAACTTGCAGTCCTCCTGCCTCAGCCTCCGGAGTGGCTGATTACAGGCGAGTGGCACCGCGCCCAGCGAGAGCTGTCTTTTAAAGTGCTTCTCAGGCCTCACCGGTACAGCACCAGCGTCAGGCTGCTGCTGGCGACGCCTCTGTTCTTCCAGGAGTTTCTTCACCGTCTGTGTCGGGCAGTGGCTGCGCTCATTTCGGCTCACTGGTTGGGGAGGAGAGAAGGAAGTCATGAGGGGTCCTTAAGTCATCTAAATGCACTCAGAGCGGGGGAGGAATGGATGTGGGCACCCATCTCGCCCTCCCGCGAGCGGAAAAACTGGCACACAGATGCCGCCTGAGAACTCCAAAGCCAATAGAAGATTTTCAGTGCGGTGCCCGCCTCCGCCGTTTCCTTCTCTTTGCTCCGCACTTTCCCGCTGACCCAACTTTCCACCAGCGTCGTGGAAACTGAGGAAGGGGAGGGGGGAGAGCACCCCTCTACTTCTGTGAAAAATCCCACCCCCAGATCTCCAGTTCTGAGGCCTGGGGTAGGGGAAACGTCGCCAGCCACCATTCCCCAGAGACGCACAACCGGGTTCCCGTGAAGCTGACGTTCTTTTACTGTTCCCCGGGAAACCAAGCGTCCGAGCCCCCAGGTCCCCTCCCCCAAGGAATCACGAGCCAGTAGCCCCCCCCCCGCCAGCTCCCCAGAATCCAGAGGTCCAGAGCCTCCAGCTCCACCTCTTCAGAACCTGGAGTCCAGGGTCCACCCCGCAAACGCAGGAGTCCGGGAGTCCCGCGTCCTCCTCTCTAGGACGCGGGGGTCCAAGCCCTCAGCCCCCTCCTCTCCAGGCCCGGGGAGTCTAGGTTTTCAGACTCCTCCTTTCTGTCACCCGGGAAGACCAGCCCCTCCACCACAACCCGCCGAGCTTGGGTTCCGGCGACAGAAGGGTTAAGCCGGCGTGGAGCAGATTCGGAAACCGCCCAGACACTGCGCGCTGACGTCACGGCGCTCGCGCAAGGGAATCTTCCATCTCCGCCTTCCGCTCCCGCCCCGCGCCGCAGGTGTCCCGCTCGAAGGCGGGGCGCGCAGCCAAGCGTGGCACTCCTGGAATCCCCGCACGCGGGGAATTCCTGCCCAGCTGGGGGACCTGGGCCGGTGGCGCTCTGGGAAACCCCAAGGAGGGGCAGGGTCGCTGCCAGCGTGGACCCTGCGCCAGGTGCCGGACCTTCGCCACTAAGATCAGCGGCAGATTTTAAACAACCACGCCCCCCAGAGCGCGCTGCAGCGGGTCCTTCTGGGGAAAAGAGTCCCGGCCACCATCCCTCTCCTTCCACAGGACACAGTAGTCTAGCCTCCCAGCTCTCGCACCGCCGAGAACCAGGATTCTGGATCTCCAGTCCCCAACGCCCCCAAAACCCAGGAGTGCAGAATCCTGGCACTCCTCCATCCCGAGCCGGGGGTCGGACCCCCCTGCTACCCTCAAACACTGGGTACTCGATCTCAGAGCCCAGATCTTGGGGCTCCAGCTCTGTCCCTCAAGGACCCCAAAGTCCAGACCTCAGGCTGTCACTTTCCTAAGAGCCGAGGTACCTCACCATCCCCCCATCTAGTACCTCGGGGATTCCGTGGCGCGGATTGTGGGCCCCCAGGGCCGCGGCCTCGGCGCTGCGCCAGCCTCGCTGTTTCCCTCGGAGCCGCCGTCGGGTCCCCGATCTTGAATAGGGTCCCCGCGAGTTTTTAAATTAGGGTTCTGGCCCCGCCCAGTGCAGGGCAGGGCCCCGCCCTCAGCCCTGGGAGTCCCCACGTCACACCCCAGCAAACTCAGTTTCTAAATGGGCGGGGCTGAGTCAAACAAGTCTCCCCAGAAAAAGGGAGTTGGGGGTTAGATCTTTGGCCTGAAGGAGCCTGATACCA